CCCAATACGCCCATTAGACTACAGCGGCGCTTTCCGTTCTTGTCCGATCAGGTTCCGGAAAGATGGCCGTTTCGCTCGAGACATCCTCGAAAGATCGGCTCCGGAGGGGACTCCGAACTGGCATTGTTTTGGAGTCGCTCCCGGAGAGCTTCAAAACGGCCCCAAAGAGCCCCAGAAGGCTCCCCAGGGGACCCCCGAAACGGCCCAAGAGACCCCCAAGAGGCCCTCAAGAGGCGCCTAGAGGCCCCCCAGAGCGCGCAAAGAGGCCCCAGGACTGGCCAAGAGAGCCCCAAAACAGTCCAAGAGAACGCTAAGACAGCCCACGAGAGCCCCCACACACCCTCCAGACACTCCCGTACAGTCTAAGAGGGTCACACAAGCCTCCAAGAGGCTCCCAAAATGTTCCGAACGGCCCCAACAATTGCCGTTTCGCTCGAGACCTCTTCAATAAATCGGGTGACGGGAAGCGCCTTCTCGGAACGAGAAGGTGGTGGGAGTTTCTTAGGCCATGCTTCCTACGAGTTAATAAAGAACAGAGACGCGAGGGACCACGGGCTCGGGGTCGGGCGGGGTCGATCGAATGGCGGATTCCCCCCTTTATGGTCGTTTCGTTCGAGACATCCTATAAAAGTGGGATCTTGAAGGACTTGTTTTAGGACGCTTTACGTCAAAGTGAGGCTCCCGCTCGAGACATCCTCGAAAAAGTGAGATCTCCAGGGATCTCGCGAATTCGTCGAAATCTTAAAAATGAGGCTCTCGCTCGAGACATCCTGGAAAAAATGTGATAGTGGACGAGCTACTTCGAGACGTCTTCAGTTCAAAATGGGGCTCTCGCTCGAGACATCCTCGAACAACGGTGATATCCAGGGAGTTTGCGAAACGAGTCGGTCCGAGAAGAGCTCAAGAGGGCTCCAAGACTGTCCAAGAATGCTCCAAGACGGTCCAAGATGCCCTATCATCATCATCATCATCATCATCATCATCATCATCATCATCATCATCATCATCATCATCATCATCATCATCATCATCATCATCATCATCATCATCATCATCATCATCATCATCCATCATCCATCATCCATCATCATCATCATATAATATCATCATTCATCATCATCAATCATCATCGCCATTACATCATCATCTGATCATCACCAAGACGGTCCAAGAGGGGCTCAAGAGGGCCACCAGAATCTCCAAGAGCATTGCAAGACGGTCCAAGATACCCTTCATCGTCTTCATCATCATCCTCGTCATCACCACTATCATCATCATCATCATCATCATCATCATCATCATCATCATCATCATCATCATCATCTTCATCGTCGGCATCAGCATCACATTGTCATCATCCTCGTTAGCGTCATCACGTTAAAACAGCCATGCGGTTTAAAACGGACGCCCACCGTACTCCCCCCCCGCCCGCCCGCCCAGCACACACCCGGCACGCACACCGCGCACCCCCCCGTCCCGCCCCCCCCAGAACACATACTGCACACACTCTCTCACGCAGGCACATATACGCACACAGCCGCACACGCACCTGCACACGCATACACAAGCACACGCACGCACACGCACGCACACACGCATACAGGCCACGCGCAGCACCTGACCAACCCAACCAGAGGCAACCACTCAACACAAGCTACGCATGGCAACCATCTGGGCGTTTAGGGAAGCCCAGCGACGACCAACCCCATGTCCAGACATTCCACGTTGTGTGCAAAGCCCTGCGCGTGCGCACGCAAGCTCAGAGAAGCGGCGCTTCCCGTTCTTGTCCGGAAAGGTTCCCAAGCATTCCCAGACGCAAGCGCATTGTGGTGCTCGCGGGCACATGGTTTCGCTCGCGGGCCGATGTGGCGTCCACAGACACATTGCCTATGGTCGCAGGCGTCGCGTGGCTCACAAGCACTGCGGCACATTTTGGCGAGTTCGCACACGTCGCGGCGATCGCATCGCAGGCTACTGTGATGTTGGCAGGCATAACGCGGTGCTCGCGGGCGGGCATGCTGCGGCGCTCCCAGCGCACCCCCGCCGTGGCGAGATCAGCGCGACACCCCCCCCCGATCACGCCCGTGATCGCCCTTTCTCAACGACGGCTCCCAGCTGTGAGATGTAATTCGTGGCGTCCCAGCCAGGCGCCCAACGGGGCGGGGCAGGCCTCGGCGGGCTGAGCGAGCTCCTCTGGAGGGTGGTCGGATGTTTTTGTTGGAGGTGTTTCCTGGGTTCGGTTGGGCGGCCTGGGTGGGCAACGGGAGGGCCAGAAGGTGCAGCACGCACGTCAAATTAGTCAAAGGTGATTTGTTTGGCCAGCATGTGCCCCACGTGAGGTTCTCTCATCCCCCAAGAGCTTCGGGGGGCCATAGGATCCTTGGGTCACCTCAGGGAAGTCAGAATTGGACACGAATGCGCTCTTAGATATCCCATAACAAGAGTTCTGATCGTGTGCGTCTTATGTAGATTAGGACGGATGTGGAAAGACGATCGCACGCAAGTATTTCAAGCTTCTGTGGGGTGTTCAATATCTTCGAGGGTGTCTTCTTGAAGGCGCCTGGGGGGGGGGGCCAGAGGCTTGCGCGCAGGGTGTTTCCAGGCTGTGGTCTGGTCTGAAGAGACACCAGAAGTCCAGGAGCAGAGCGTCGATGTCAGCTGGCCAGGAAAAGGAGCTCCTCTAGCACATGTTTAGTCGTGCTTGCGAAGCGTCGCGAAAGTGTTGTCAATTGTGCATCAAGTTGTTGGTATGAGAAAGAACGATGTGCGCGACTGCGCTGCGGAAGGATCCGTGCTGGCAGCCACGTCGTGATGGTAAGATGCTTTCCGTCGTTTCTTGAAGGCCCGTGCTCCGTATGAGGCACCACGGCCACTGACTACACAGTGATCGCTCGGGGAGCGAAGTTTGCAAATAGCTGACACTTCATTAAGATGATTGTTTTGAGTTCCGCACAGATTTCTTGGATCGGCGTTGGGCCCCCCAGGCGGCGCCTCGGGCGTCGCCCCGGGAGGCCAGCGCCGGTCCGAGGAATCTGGGCGGACCTCCGACAAACATTTGGACACGTCGCGCAGCCCCGCCAGCCCATCCAGAACCGATGCCCAGACGAAATGCCCTGATCATGAATGTGGAGGTGTATGCACTGAAGGCCACATACCCCAAGATGGGGAAGATGGAGGAGGAATCGGAGGAGGAGCAGGAGGAGGAAAAATCGGAGGAGGACCAGGAGGAGGAGGAGGAGGAGGAGGAGGAGAAGGAGGAGGAGGAGGAGGAGGAGAAGGAGGAGGAGAATGAGCGGGAGGAGGGGGAGGAAGGATGAGGAATAGCCAGACAAGGAAGAGGAGGAGGAGGAGGCGGAGGAGAGGAGGAGAAGAGGACGAGGAGGAGGAGGACGAGGAGGACCGGGAGGACGAGGACGAAGGACGAGGTCGACGAGGAGGGCAGGGGGGAGGCGGGGAGGAGGAGGAGGAGAAGGAGGAGGAGAATGAGGAGAAGGAGGGGTCGGAGGGGGTGGAGGGAGGAGGAAGGAGGAGGAGTAGCCAATAAGGAAGAGGAGGGGAGGAGGAGAGGAGGAGGAGGAGAGGAGGAGGAGGAGGAGGAGGAGGAGGAGGAGGAGCGAGGAGGAGGAGGAGGAGGTCGAGGACGAGGAGGAGGAGCAGGAGGACGAGGGGGAAGAGGAGGAGGACGGCAGGAGGGGGCGGAGGAGCTGGAGGAGAGGAGGAGGTGGAGGGAAGGAGGAGGGATAAGGGGGAGCAGGAGGAGGAGGAGGAGGAGGGAGGGGGAGGAGGGGATGAGGGGGAGGAGGAGGAGGAGGAGGAGGAGGAGGAGGAGGTGGAGGAGAGGAGAGGAGGAGAGGAGGAGGGAGGAGGAGGGGAGGAGGAGGAGGAGGGGAGGGAGGAGGAGGAGGAGGAGGAGGGGGAGGAGGAGGTGGAGGAGAAGGAGGAAAAGGAGGAGACGGAGGAGAAAGCAAAAAGGCTAGATGCCTCTCGGATGCCTTTTGGGTTTTTTGTTTGATGTTTTCGTGGGTGCTGACGGTCGTCTTGGGGCGTCTTGGGGATCTCTTGGCAGTCCCGGAGGCCGTTTGGGGCGCCACGGATGCCTTTGGCGGACGTCTTGTGGTTTTGGGGGGTCTCTTGGGGCCTCCTGGGCGCCTTTCGGGAACGTCCTGGGGCATCCTGTGGGAGTTTCGGGGGCGGAGGAAATCGACCAAAGGGGGGCTTTGCTAAATCACGCCCCCCCAAGAGACCAACATGTGGCCAACATCTGTTTGTAAAATCCATGATGCTGATTTTCTCGCGAGGGCCATCTTGGAAGCCCTCACTCCTCGCGAACACCCCCCCTCCCAAGACCCAGGGGGGGTAGGGGGGAAAGGTGAACCTCTCCCCGAGAGGGAGAAGGGAAGATGGAAGAGGAAATCCCCTAAATTCCAGATGTGAGTCGTCAGTAAAACTCGGGTGCCTTCGCCTCGCGCGCTGCGCGACGATCCTCCGCGGAGGTAAGAAGAACCCCCTTCATTCAGGGCGCCCTGGGTTTGGGGCTGGCTGGGGGGGGGGCCGGGTTCATCATCATCAGCAGCAGCAGCATCATCATAATCATCATCGGCAGCATCATCATAATCGTCATCACCATCAACAAAACCGCCATAACCATCATCGGCATCATCACCATCATCATGATCACCAGCATCAGCATCAGCATCACATTATCATCATCATAAGCAGCATCATCATCGTCAGCATCATCATCATCATCATCATCAGCATCATCATCATCATCATCATCATCGTCATCATCATCATCATCATCATAATCATCGTCAGCATCGTCAGCATAGTCAGCATCATCATCATCGTCAGCATCATCCTCCTCATCCTCATCCTCATCCTCATCATCATCATCATCATCATCATCATCATCATCGTCATCATCAGATTCGTTTTCTTCTTCTTGGTCATCATCACCACCACCACGACCACTCCCTTGTGGGTCGGGCCAGCCCGAGGCGGCGAGGCGGACCCCATCTTCGAGATCGGCTCGGACGACGACGGGGGCATCTGGTCCGGCGAGTCGCCCACCGAGGACGACGACTTCTGGGTCTCGGGGCCCGCCGTGCCGAGCCCCGCGGGAGGCGCACCCGTCCTCGCGGAGTTCTGAGGCCGCCCCGAGGCCAGAAGCACAACACATTGCACAGATATCCGCTGTCGGAGCTCCGCGCAGAGTTTTCTTGGGTCGGCGGTTGGGAGCCCCGGGCGGCGCCTGCTGCGCCGCTGCCGGGGAGGTCGGAGGGTGCCGAGTCCGTGTGGAGCATATGTCCGTACGGTGTGAGTCCACACGGAGCGCTCGGTGTCCGTCTGGGGCTGCCCCGTTTGGGGTGGGCATCTGCTGATCGGATGCTGCGTCCGCACGGAGCAGGCCCGCACGGAGTGCTCCGTCTCCGTGTGCGCCGACTCTGTCTGGACCGCACCTCTCCCGAGGAGAGGGGGCCCAGCGCCGACCCAGGACATCTGCGCGGAGATCCGAAGGCTTCTGCGTGTGCCGCTTGCTCTTCCTCCGCCCAAGGCGCGGCACACTTGGGCGCCCGAATTATCCGGGGTAGCTCGGGCCCCGGGTACCTCGGGTTCGGATTCCCGAAAAGCGAACCCGGGTTGGCCCTGACCCGAGTTCACCCTGATGACTCGGGGCTCTGACCTGCTTTCACCGACCGGCATGCACGCGCGCGCTTGAAGCACTGCGCGAAGTCCTCCCAACACTGCGCCGATCTGGGGGGAGGGGGGAGCCCGAGATCCGACGCTCTCCCCCACAAAAATCAAAGCGGCGGTGTCATTGACTCTGTGTCTCTCCCTCCCCCTTCCCTCCCTCCTCCTCCTCCTCCTCCTCCTCCTCCTCCTCCTCCTCCTCCTCCTCCTCCGTCCTGTTTTTGGGAGCCGGGGCCCGGTGCAACGTGAGCCCAACCTGTCCCCCCCTTTTGGCCAAATGCGGGCTGCCGTTTTCAAACTTCATACGTGAGATCCCAAACTGCGTATGGACCTGAAAGCGAGCAAGCCACATAGAACGTCTTCAGGAATGCCTGTCGGGCTTGCTCCGAAGACGACCCGAAAGTGTGACCGGCCAAGCCAAGAGTGGCCAACTTGCGTGGGACCCGTGCCAAACAAGTGGTTGTGAGAAATGGTCGGCGCCCCGTCCTCTTTGGGAGCAGGGGCCCGGTGCAACGTGAGCCCAACCTCACCAACCACCAAACCACCCCAACCCAACCCGAAGCCCTCAATTTGCCCTCCATCTCCAGTGGGGGGGGGTCGGGGAACGCTGAAAACACACGGAACCCACACACACACACACCAACCCGAAATTGGGGTCGAATTCGGGTCTTCGGGTTGGATTGGGGTGGTCTGGTCGGTAGGCACAGCCCTCCCCCCTTCCCCCCAAGCGGCCGCGGCCTCCTCGCGCCGAGGCGGCCCGCCGCGAGGTGCTGGCGCCCCGACCTCCGCCGTCGTGGCAGATCGCGCCGGGCGGCCGCTCCGAGTTCGGGAGCCCGTGGGCCCGTCTGCGCGCCCTGGGCCCCATCGCAGGTAGATTTACGTCGGGCCTGTCCCTCTGCAGGAGGAATATTCAAAAGTGGTCAAAAAATAGTCTGGGACCGATTTCCTTTTTACATCTTTGTATTATTTTGTGTGTGTGTGTTTGTTTTATGTTTCCCCACATCCTAAGTGGGGTTCTTGTTGTCTCTGCACACCCTCCGCGCAGGATCTCTCCTCCTCCTCCTCCCTCTCCTCTGCTCCTCTTTGCTTCCTCCTCCGCATCATCATCACCATCACCATCACTCCCCACTCATCATCATCACCACCATCAGCATCACCATCACCATCCCACGATCACTCACCATCATCGGCATCGAACGATCATCATCATCATCATCATCATCATCATCATCATCATCATCATCATCATCATCATCATCATCACTACTCGCTGACTTGAGGCCTGAATATGGAGGAAGTCTCGAGCGGGAGCCTCGTCAGTGAGTGAATTGCGAGGATGTCTCAGGCGGGAGCCCCCTCCCTATGGGGCCCGCACTTCATGTTTGAATCCGAGCGGGTCATCCGCAACGTGCAACTGTCGTCACTTTTGGGCTCTTAAGACTTGAATACGGAGGAAGTCTCGAGCGGGAGCTTTGTCTGTGAATGAATTGCGAGGAAGTCTCAGGCGGGAGCCCCCTCCCTATGGGGCCCACACTGCATGTTTGAATCCGAGCGGGCCATCCGCAACGTGCAACTGTCGTCACTTTGAGGCTCTTGAGAATTGAATATGGAGGAAGTCTCGAGCGGGAGCCTCGTCTGTGAGTGAATTGCGAGGAAGTCTCAGGCGGGAGCCCCCTCCCTATGGGGCCCGCACTTCATGTTTGAATCCGAGCGGGTCATCCGCAACGTGCAACTGTCGTCACTTTTGGGCTCTTGAGACCTGAATATGGAGGAAGTCTCGAGCGGGAGCCTCGTCTGTGAGTGAATTGTGAGGAAGTCTCAGGCGGGAGCCCCCTCCCTATGGGCCCCGCACTTCATTCATGTTTGAATCCGAGCGGGTCATCCGCAACGCGAATTGTTGTCACTTTTAGGCTCTTGAGACTGGAATATGGAGGAAGTCTCGAGCGGGAGCTTCGTCTGTGAGTGAATTGCGAGGAAGTCTCAGGCGGGAGCCCCCTCCCTATGGGGCCCGCCCGCACTTCATGTTTGAATCCGAGCGGGTCATCCGCAAAGTGCAACTGTCGTCACGTTTGGGCTCTTGAGAATTGAATATGGAGGAAGTCTCGAGCAGGAGCCTCGTCTGTGAGTGAATTGTGAGGAATTCTCAGGCGGGAGCCCCCTCCCTATGGAGCCCGCACTTCATGTTTGAATCCGAGCGGGCCATCCGCAACGTGCAACTGTCGTCACTTTTGGGTTCTTGAGAATTGAATATGGAGGAAGTCTCGAGCGGGAGCCTCGTCTGTGAGTGAATTGCGAGGAAGTCTCAGGCGGGAGCCCCCTCCCTATGGGGCCCGCACTTCATGTTTGAATCCGAGCGGGTCATCCGCAACGTGCAACTGTCGTCACTTTTAGGCTCTTGAGACTTGAATATGGAGGAAGTCTCGAGCGGGAGCCTCGTCTGTGAGTGAATTGTGAGGAAGTCTCAGGCGGGAGCCCCCTCCCTATGGGGCCCGCACTTCATGTTTGAATCCGAGCGGGTCATCCGCAACGTGCAACTGTCGTCACTTTTAGGCTCTTGAGACTGGAATATGGAGGAAGTCTCGAGCGGGAGCTTCGTCTGTGAGTGAATTGCGAGGAAGTCTCAGGCGGGAGCCCCCTCCCTATGGGGCCCGCCCGCACTTCATGTTTGAATCCGAGCGGGTCATCCGCAACGTGCAATTGTCGTCACTTTTGGGCTCTTGAGAATTGAATATGGAGGAACTCTCGAGCAGGAGCCTCGTCTGTGAGTGAATTGTAAGGGATTCTCAGGCGGGAGCCCCCTCCCTATGGGGCCCGCACTTCGTGTTTGAATCCGAGCGGGCCATCCGCAACGTGCAACTGTCGTCACTTTTGGGTTCTTGAGAATTGAATATGGAGGAAGTCTCGAGCGGGAGCCTCGTCTGTGAGTGAATCGCGAGGAAGTCTCAGGCGGGAGCCCCCTCCCTATGGGGCCCGCACTTCATGTTTGAATCCGAGCGGGTCATCCGCAACGTGCAACTGTCGTCACTTTTAGGCTCTTGAGACTTGAATATGGGGGAAGTCTCGAGCGGGAGCCTCGTCTGTGAGTGAATTGTGAGGAAGTCTCATGCGGGAGCCCCCTCCCTGTGGGGCCCGCACTTCATGTTTGAATCCGAGCGGGTCATCCGCAACGTGCAACTGTCGTCACTTTTGGGCTCCTGAGATATGAATATGGAGGAAGTCTCGAGCGGGAGCCTCGTCTGTGAGTGAATCGCGAGGAAGTCTCAGGCGGGAGCCCCCTCCCTATGGGGCCCGCACTTCATGTTTGAATCCGAGCGGGTCATCCGCAACGTGCAACTGTCGTCACTTTTGGGCTCTTGAGACATGAATATGGAGGAAGTCTCGAGCGGGAACTTCGTCTGTGAGTGAATTGTGAGGAAGTCTCAGGCGGGAGCCCCTTCGCTGTGGGGCCCGCACTTCATGTTTGAATCCGAGCGGGTCATCCGCAACGTGCAATTGTCGTCACTTTCGGGCTCTGGAGATATGAATATGGAGGAAGTCTCGAGCGGGAGCCACGTCTGTGTGAGGAAGTCTCAGGCGGGAGCCCCAGGAAGCAGAGGAAAGGGCAAAGGGTAAGCTAAACAGATTCTCGTGCGGGGTCCTACCGTCGGAGTAATTTTTATTTTCGACCAAAATCCCCCTGTAGGGGGACACGCACGACTTTAAGGTAGATGTCTGGCGCTGGCTCCACAGAGGTACATCGGGGTTCACGCACGGAGGTCAGCGCTATCGTCGGGTCGGGCATGTCTCTATAGGGAGAGTATGCAAAAATTGTCAAGGAATAGTATGGTGACGATTTGTTTTGACCATTTTTGCGCGTATTTGTTGCGAATCTGTCTGAGCTATTTCTAGACTTGTCGTCCACAATCTGCCTGTAGCTGGACATGCCCGACCTCAAGGTACATCGGGGTTCACGCACGGAGGTCAGCGCTATTGGAGGTCAGCCAATCCCTTCTGGCTGTCCCAGGTTCGGGAGCCACGTGGGGCCGATTCCCCCCGTCTTCCCTCCGCTGACCCGGGCGTGCGAGCGACAACGCGGCGGGCTTGGCTTCGCGACAGGGCCTTGGCTGATCCGGGCGCGCGCTGACCCCAATTAGTGCGTCCCCAGATACAGCCAGGAGGTGGTGGAGGAGGAGGAGGAGGCAGCAGAACTATTCGGGATAGATTTTGTTCAGGCAGGGCCCTGCTTGGCGCCCGCAAGTGCCATCCAGGAAAATATTGGAATCGTTTGATCGGGGATGGCCATGCATCCGTGCGATCGCACGCATCCGTGCGATCGCACAGTGTTGGACAGGGCTTGCGTCGGCCAGAAATGATCCAGGAAGATTCGGCTTGATTGCGTTCCAGGGAGACCCGGGCGCGAAAGCGGAAGGCCCGAATCAGGGGTTATCTTTCAGTCGGGCACGTCCTTCTACAGGACGA